TCATAAACAGGATCTTGTGGAACCAACCCCTACAGTCCTGCTGGCTTCCCTCCCAGCCATTCCCTGCAGCCTACATGGTTTCCCCCATGCTCTAGAAACACCAGCCTACACACTGGCTACCCATCGTTGTGAAGCAATTGTTCATTTTCCCTTAAGAAATATGTCACATTTATTTTCATACAAGCCTATTACAGATATTATTATTATCCCGATTTGGGGGGGAGGCTCAAGGTTGAGCAACCTGAAAGAAGTCAGTCACACCAGCAGGAGCACAGAAGAGCTGGGAGTGGATACCGGGCATCTCCCCAGAACTCACTGCACCCGTCCTGTCCACCCCCGCCTGGCAAACGCTGCCTTCGCCCTCCCTGCCCCCGTTGAAATGCCGCACGGCACCCCAGCCGGACTGGGCGTGCACAGCCTGTGGCTTTTGCATGATGGCAGTTGTAGCCTGTCTGTGCTGCTTACTGGTTTTCGTGTCTGTTTCCCTCTCTAGGCTCTAGTTCTGGAAGTCAGGTCTCCTCCCAAACCTGACTGCCTGCACAGGGGCTGACAGAGTGGGTCCTTGAAGATGTCTGCCCGAAGAATGGATGAATGAATGAATGAATGAGTGAACACATAAGGAACTGAGATGTGGCACCAAGGAGTAGGGCCAGCAGCACTGATGCAAACAGCCTGATGCCTATCCATGTGCGTGAGGCAGGAGACAGACAGTACGGGGTGGTACAAACACGCACAGCCCTGGGGCCGGAGCTCCCCACCTTCGCTCTGTCACTTGCTCAAACTGTGCAGCTCCTATAAGGCCCAGGGCCAACATTTCTCATCGCTGGCCGGGGTCGATGATACGGATAAGACCTCTCCTTCCTCCTTCAACAAACAGTCACTGCACACGCGCCCTGTGTTGGGCACTGGGGCATCAAAGGCAGCCCGCAACGGAGGGACCCTGCCCTCCGGGAGCTTCCAGATACGGCAGGTGTATGGACCGCCAGGCAGTTATGACAGTGAGAGTCGCCTGCCCTGAGGAGCGAGCCCGGCTCACCCCGCGAGCTCAGGTGGGACAGCCGTGGGCAGTGAGCCAGCTGGAGACGGAACAGGCGGCCCAGGCAGTGGGGCGGTGAACCCCTGGCGCGTGTGCAGAACAGTGACAGTGCCGTGCAGCTGGCGCTCTGTCGGCCACATCGCGCAGGACTTTGTAAGCCGAGCCAAGACATCTGTACTCCCCCCGCCTCCCCCCGGCACCGCGGTGCGAGCTCTTGTCAAGCCCAGGAGCTCAGTGGCTGTGGCTGCACGTTGAAAAGCTGGCGATCGTCCCTGCTGTGACATTCCTCGGGCCCCCAAGGTTCGCCTGTTGCTATGAGAGCAGTTCAATGTCTCCTTCACATTGTCACTGAGAAGGAGATAAGAGAGACTGCCTTAAAAGAAGGAAAGTGCTGGGTGTTAGAGAGCAATAGGGGATGAGGGGACCTAGGCAGAGTGTAAGAGGCACTGGAAAATACCAGGCAAGGCTGTGAGTTCCAAGGCGTTTGGGTGCTGGGGGGACCTTGCCTTGTGCTTGCTGATGTGAGGCTGGTGCAGGGCTGGGGCCAGAGGGGACGCTGTGCTCACGGGGTCGACCACAGCAAGCTTGCCTGGGTGTTGGGCAGCACTGATTAGAAGGGAAAGGGACTGGGGGAGCAGCCCTGGGTGGGGAGGCGGTGGCATTGCCGGGGTCATGTGACGAACCTCGGAGGGTCCAGGATTGAGGGGTGAAGAGGAGAGGAGGGCGGTTTTACTGAGCACCTTTCACTATGTGTCAGGCCCCGTGGGAAGGATTTCCACCTACGATGCAACTCACAGGACACTGTGCCTCTTTTGGAACATTTACCACAACTTACCACAATTCTCCGTACCTGCCTCCCCTAGTGAGGCTCCCCGTGGGGCTCGGGGCCGGTGTCTGCCTTGTGTCCCCTGTGTCCCCAGGACCTAGTGTATAGTGGGTGCCTCACAATGGTTATGAATGATTCAACTATCTTTTCTTTTCCTCTCCTCCTTCCTTTTCTCCCCCTCTTCCTTTCTTTCTCCCTTGTTCCAAGACCAGGTGAGAAATCTCGTTTGCTCCTTCAAATAGCACAAAGCTGGGTTAAGGTGTTTGGGGAGCCGGTCTTCAAAACAGTGGCGGGAGTTTGTACCGGTCCAGCTGGCAGTGGGTTTCATAAGGATGGAAAGAAGGCTCAGAAGTGTTAAGTTACTTGCCTGAGGCCACACAGCTAACAGGAGGTAGGGCAGAGATCTGACCCAGTTCTCTTAGAATCCACGGTATGCTTCCTCCCTAAGTGAGGGAACGGAGAAGACTGGGCCCCTGAGGTGGACAAAGCTGGGCCAGTATTTCTGCAGCTGTGATGTAGCAAACGAGTCCTCCCCTGTGGGTTTCTATGTCCTGGTTGGCAAAGATCAGGTAGAAATGTGACTGGAGAGCAAGTAGACAGGGCCAGGCTGCAGTCCACTCAAGGTCACTCTTGGACACCCCTGGTGGAAATGAACTTGTGAGAGATCCACACCAGCTGAGCTCTGTCTGGTCTCTAACCATCCTCAGTCAATGGGCACCTATTTCACAAAAGATAACTGATAAGAAAGCCTTCCTGCAGGCACTTCCTGGTTGCAAGCTTCTAAGAAAGGGTTGCACCTCTATGCCATGTTCCTCGGAGGGAATGATTAAGCCTTTCTGTGCCTCTTTTCCCACCCTGGGCTCGAGGTGGCCACAGGGAGGGGGAGGAGGGAAAGTAAGTTTCCGTCCCTTTCTTGAGTGGGCCAGGCAGCATGCCTGGGAGGAAGGGAAGGGGGAGGAATTTTCTGGGTGGCAAGGTAGCCTCTCTCCGGGCCCCAAGTGAGTGAGAGCCCCGGGATTACATGGTTACATTCAATACCTTTATCTCCCTTCTCCCCCAGGGAGACTCTGCTAAAATGATGGGAGAGGAATCCAAAAGCATCAGTCTGTAAGGACCAAGGGAATAAGAGAGCGGCAACTGTGGGTTAGTGATTTCTGCTACTTCAAGGGCATTTTGGGTGGCAGGATGGAGGGGAATTGATGGAGCAGAGCAGCCGTTAGCTGTGGTCCTTGCTGGAAATGTGTTCTCAGAGGCGGCCACGCATGGAGCTCAGATGAGCAGATGACCTCAGCATCTGCTGTCCCATCTCCACAACAAATTCTCAGTATGACCTTGGGCAAGTCTGTTTCCTCTTTCTGAGGCTCCTACTGGAGCCATACTGGACCCATGATCCTTCTGGTGTCTGAATGTCCTGGAGGATTTTTTTTTTTTTTTTTTTTTTTTTTTTCCTTCAACATGTAGAGGCACCAAGTTTTGATTCAGATTCTGGTATTTGCATTTTTTTCAAAAGCTGTCCCAGGAAGCTTTAAAAGTGCCTGCTGCAGATGGTCTTTGAGAGCCCATTCAATTCCAACTTGTCAGGACTCCCACCCAGGTGTTAGTTTGGAGAACACACTGGGCTGGGGTGGGAGACTCGCAGGGATATAAGACCTTCGGGGGAGTGATCCAGGAGGCTTTGAAGGAGGCCGAGTGCCCATCTGCTGGGGACGGCAGAGGCTCTATACAGGGACAGTGGCATTTGAAAAGGGCAGAAAGCCCACTGAGGGAGACCGTGAGGACGGCCCTGCAGGTGGAAGTCCCAGTAGGAGCAAGATCTTAGCAGTAGGGACACTTGTGGCATGTGGGGGAATTACAGATATTCAAATGTGGAGACAGCACGAGGAGCCATGAATGTCCAGGAGAGCACCTGCGCTCCATCCATCCAAATGACAATGGGGAGCCACGCAGATCTCTGAGCTAGAGGGTGCACGAGCAAAGTATATCAGCCTCACCAGCCCTCTCTGGTTATTTAATGCACGTCGGCCTCATGGTTTTAATACATGGGTTCAGCCCCGCGACCTTTTCTGGAGCAACTACTATGTGCTGTTTGTGCCAAGCACTGCTCACGGTGTCTGGCATGACCTGGCCACTCTGTGGCTACACAGCCGCATCTCTCTCCTGCCACTTCCCTACTCAGTCCACTTTCCTTACCCCCACACCCTCAAGGAGTGTGGTCCCCCATGCCTCCCTGTCCTTACTCAAGCCCCTTCCTCTGTTGGCACGCCCCTTCCTACTTCAGCCCTTCTGCAGGAGGCTCTGCGTGAAGAACATTCCCCTGGGCGGCCTTTCGGATGCCCTTGGGCAGTTCCTGGTCCTTCCCGTCCCCCTCCAGATGGCACATCCACTGCTGGCCTCACACTGTGTGGCTTTTACTTGTTAATCTGTGAGTCTAAGGGCAGCCAGGTCAAGATGAGGCACCACCCGTTAGCGGTAGCTGTCTTTCCTGGGGCTCCCTGAGGATTTAGGGCAGAGCAAGCTGTTGAGGAGTGTTGAGTGATTGAAAAAATAGTAATGGCAACGATCTGGGCCAGGCACGTGACATAGCAGATTTACCTCTCATGGCACACCCTTGGGACGTGTGTCACTCTCTCCACCTTGCAGCGCACGTGTGACTTGGGATATGTGAGTTTGTGCAACTTCTCTCCTGCAGAACGGGGCGACAACACAGGTATGCCTCAGCCCTGGCCCTCCTCTCCACCATGTCCCGGGCCAGCCACTCTGGCCCGGGCCAGAAGGATGTGGGGTCAGAGAAGCCACAAACAGGCAACTTCCTTTCTCCTGTCTCCACTTCCCACTCAGCTGGGACGGCTCCTACTCATTTTCTCAAGATCCTTATCTGCTCCTGCACTCGGAGAAGTTTCCCCATACCTTGCACACTACCCAGGAGAGGTGGGGAAAGGAGTGTTCCATGTGGTCACTGGGCGTGGGTAAGCATCTCTCCTCCCTGTGACTTCCCCGCCTCTGCACCAGAGGCTGGGAAACCCCACTCAGGTCATCGAATAAAAGCTCTGGGCCCCGCAGCATGGGCCAGGGAAGAGCTCTTAGCTTCACCAGACACATCGAGACCGCTGCAAGGAGGTCTGAGCCAGACCCCCCAGGATGAAGCTCATCACCGTGGCCCTGGTGTGCCTGCTGCTGGCTGGGATGTGGCTGCACGAGGCGGACAGCAGGAGCAGTGAGTGTGGTTGGCATCACTACGCTCCTCCTTGGGGAGGGTGCTCTGGGCTTGTGGGCAGGGCTTGCCCTGAACTCAAGGCCTCTGTCTCCCCTCCTCCTGGAAGAATTCTTCCTGAAGAGGGTGAATGGAGGACTTGGATGCGGTAGGGGCAAGGGGCCGGAGGGAGAAGGTGTTTAGGCCAGCGCCACAGCTCAGCTGCCAGCCTCATCCGAAGCAGGCCCTGCCTCATCCAGGGACCTCTGAGGCTATTTAGGCAAGCCAGGAGGCCTGAGGCCCAGAGGAGGGACTGGGTCCTGCCTCTACCGGGGAACAGATAACAGGCAGAGTGTAAAGTCAGGACCGAGACTAGAACGGGTGGCTAGTCACTGTCGGGCAAGTGTTGGCCCAGTGACTCAGGCCAGTCACTTTACCTCTCAAACTCTTCGTTCCCTGCTCGCAAAATGGGATTGATAATGCTTGTCCTCGGGGCTCTGGAAAGAAGACTGACCTAATTCCAGGCACCTGAAAAACGCTGCGTAGACAATGAAACGAGGAGGAAGGAGCCAGGATTGGAATTTGAGTCTCTTGGGGGGTGGGGGGTGGCAAAGAGTGTGTAAAGTGGCCGAGTTGGGGGTGGAGCCTGGACAGGGCTGAGGGCCTGGGAAAAGGGCATTATAGAGAGGGGGTGGAGAGCATCTCAGTTCCTGAAAGCTCTTCCCTGGTCATCTCATCCGTTTGAACTCCTTGAACCATTCCTAGTCTTGACCGAAAGCCATAGACCACAGTTGTCCTGTGTGCACCAGGCTCACTGGGCCCCCAGAATGTGGAGTCCTGAGCCCTTAAACCCAAATATTGGGCCAGAACCATGCACTCATGGTGGGATGTCAGAACTGGAAGCTTCTTAAAAATCAGCCCAAAAAGTCCTATTTGACAGATGGGAAGTCTGGGGCCCAGATGGGGGCTCATCTTGGTCAAGGCCACACAGCTGGATTGGAGGGAGCTGGGATCTGAACCCCAATGTCCTGACCCTCTGCCTACCTACAGAACTAGGTGGCTGATGAGACAGCACTGCACTGGGCTGGATGTAGTCCCCAAGCCTGGGCCTGTCCCAAAAGGTTTTGTTTGTTTGTTCGTTTGTTTGTTTCTAACCACTTGGATAAAAGGAACAACGTCCAGGTTAAGAAATAGATGCAAACCATTTTTTTGTGTGTTTTTCTTCTAGTGCACGTATCGTCCTCCAACTGTTGCTTCACGTTTGTGGAGAAGAAGATTTCCTCGCAGAGAATCCAGTGTTACAAAAACACCAGCTCCGCGTGCTCCCGCAGTAGTCTAATGTGAGTGGCCCTCCCTGGGTCAGTTCCTGACTCCCTCCTCCAGGGACCAGAAATCAGCCCACCTGGAATTAGAATGGCAGACGCTAGATGGCGATGCTCCACCAGATTCTGGTTTCCGAACCTGGAGCAAGGCCGCCAAGATCTAGGTGTGCAGAGCCCAGCATGGGCGCCAGGGGGAGCGCCGCGCTTCTTAGCAGGTGCCAGGAGGGATGCCCCTGCGCTCCCACAGTGACTTGGGTTTCTTGGAACTCCAAGGCGCCAAGTATTATATCCTGATATTTTATGTCCAGAAGAAGGGACTGCTTAAAAGCTCCAGGAATTACTGTGTAGTGGGAAAAGTGAGGGGGTCACAATTATTTCCTGCCTCGGGATTTGCCAACCTATAATCTTGGTTGACCTTGGGCGGGTAACTCTTCTGCACCTCATTGTCTGGGCACTCCTCTGCACTCCTTATCTGTGAAATGGAGTTAAGGTGACAGTCGCATCATAGGGTCATTAGAAAGTTAGACTGAGGTAGCTCACCCCCGCTTTTCAGTATCTAGAAAGCATTCACGTATATGATCTTGGCTAACCCTTTTGGGGCACCCATTTTCATTATCATGAACAGTGAAGTTCAGGGAAGTAGAGATATTTGTCTGAGGTCACCCAGATAATTAAAGTTAGAATTGGTCTATAGTTTGGTTGGACAACAGCCAAGTTAAAGAGGTGGGCAGGAATGAGAAAAAATGAAATATGGCCTTTTGTAGCAACGTGGATGGAACTGGAGAGTGTGATGCTAAGTGAAATAAGCCATACAGAGAAAGACAGATACCATATGGTTTCACTCTTATGTGGATCCTGAGAAACTTAACAGGAACCCATGGGGGAGGGGAAGGGAAAAAAAAAAAA